TACCCCTCGCCGTTGTAACGAGGAGCAGAAGTGTGTGCAAGTATATTTGCTAGTGTTGTACGAATAGTAGATTTCGACTTCAAATCGAATAGTGATTTTCGCCTAATATTTTTAAATCGAATATTGAATATTTTTGGTGACAACAATTTGGCCAAAATGTTGCATGAAGAGAAACTACTGCATTCTTAAAATATTTCAAAGAGCAGTTTTGTGAATGAATGAAATCAAGATTTACTCGAGTAAAGGATTTATATTATAGAGGTTAGGTATACATTTTGGCAGCTTCTACTGACAAATTTTATAAAAAGAACAGCACGAGCGAGGAACGCAGCTTGTCAAGAAAGCGCTGCCTAACATATACATTTTGCACAATAAGTAGAGTTTAAATTTAAAAATGTTATTGCAATCTAGATATCAACATTCACATGTTCGTTTCTTTTAGAATGCACCAAGCATGGTTTTGCATCATCCCGCTCTGAAGCTTTGCTGTTTTCGCAAGCATCTTGCGAAGCTCGCTTCGTCATAGCGCAGCTACGCGCTGCGGCGAGGAGGCGAGCTTCGCGGAATAGCGGTGTCAGCTTCGCGGGTATTTCTTCTCTACAGCGCGCCTGTACCCGGTACGAAGTGCTCAACAAAACTAATTTGCCGTGATCAACACTTCGAAAAGTATGAATATCGCGTTTCAGTTCGAATCAAGTATCACATAGCATTATTATTTAAAACTACCGCGAGAGCTGAAGGCATCTAACCCATTTTAAATGCACAGCGATTTTTTTTTAACGTAGCGCGCTGGGATTTGCTGCACAGGTGCGGCTAGGTGTTGTAAGTGTACAAGCAACATATGCAGGAATGAACTTACCTTGTTCAAAGACTAAAAAAGAAGAATATGTTTCGGACAATCTACGGCACCGTTTTGCAGATGATGCCATACGGGGCTGTCTACTTGCATACCCTGCCGACAATGTCACAATGTGAGGCACTCTAGGATGCGGCGCGTGGGCCGATTATTTCTGTGGAAGAAACGGGAGGCCCTGAAGGATTTAAATACATGTTTTTATATTCAGTTTATTTTAAAAAAGATATCACACATTGAAATTTGCACATTATAGATAATCGCGTCGCATTAAAAAAAAGCGTATTCAAAACTTTCGGAAGATCGTCTGCTAAACTCGATGCGGTATGCCCTTAACGCTTCGGGCATCTGTCGGAAGCATTTTGACATGGTCTGCAATCTCCACGAAATGCCTAGCCGCACCTAAACAGTAAATCGCAGTGCAATACATTACAAAAAAACGATTTTCCCAGTATACTTAAATTGGGTTAAATGATTTCGGCCCTCGCGGTACTATTCAAATATTCGTGCAACACTAATATTTACTCATGAACGATTAGCGACGTTATGAGAAGGCACATTTTGTTCTAGCCAAACAGAACCTCAGGTCAACCTCGGGATGCCTTACTTTCCCTACCTTTGACACGAGTAACGGCATTCCTCTAAATTTCCCTTCTACTGTAAATGCTGCAAATGGCGGAGCGCTATCCGATTGAAAGAACAATTCGGACTGCGTAGTAAAACCCTTTGGGTGGCGTGATACAGTTTTATTTGCAAATCTTTGTCTGATGCCAAGGTTTGTGTATACAAAGTTGCACCCCTTTTCAGAGTTGGTTTTTAACGTCCTTGCAGGGAGCAAGGGCTTGTTATCATTTTTATCTTAAAGTACAACTTCCTAGTTCTGAATGTCATTCAAGCAAGGGCCCGTCAAGCAAGGGCTTGACGGGCCCCAGACCTCGTCAAGCTGCCACTGGCAGCTTTTTGTCTAGGGTCTTCGTTGGCTTAAAGGCCATAAATAAAACGATTGATTGATTGAAGTTTGCGTTAGGAAATTCCGGTTATGACATATGATATACTATATGATGTTAGCTCACATAAAGCAACTCAGTTAATCAACATAGTATCGTGGTTTTAGAACATAAAGACAAACACAAACTTAAAATACGTTATGTAAAATTAAATTGGCAGATGCCATCAACAGTTATCATCATGAAACAAAATGTTTCCATACCTTCACATAAAGGACACTTCCAGATTGACTTAGCCTAACACCTCCTAAATACCAATATCTTTGCACACACTATCCTCCCTCTACTATCATATTTCAGTGCAGAATAGAGTGCGGACAGACACAAGTGCTACGTTAGCATTCGCCTAGATGTTGAGTTCAGTTGGTGAGAGCACGCGTTGACGGCTAAATGATAACGCAGCTCTTTTTTCCAGTCTGTGTTTTATCCTGACTATTGAGAAGTGATACAATCCAGCACCACTAAGGCCTTGCTACCTAGGAGGTGTTGAACTTGTGGGATCTGAATATTGAGTTCTTTAAATTATTGATGTCGGGCTTTTAGGCTCCTCTGTCTCTTGATTGTTATCAGAGACAGATGATGATGTAGAAAAAAAAATCGACTAAAGGTGGAGGGCCGGCATTTTGAACAGGGTTGGTTTATGAAATGAAGGTTACGGCGGAAACGAGCTGGTGGTAGTTAAAACTATTCAGTTCGTGCCCTAGATTTAGCAGGAAAATTAACGTCACGTCACCTCGAGACTTATTCAATTCCCCAACTCCCCGCTAATTTTAGTGGGGAACTGAATTTGTGCTGAGGTCACGTGGCGTCAATTGTTCAGCTGAATTTAGAGGAGAAACTGTGGGAGGAGGGGAGGGTATGGAGGAGGAGGGGAGGGTACGCAGAAGGAGGACGGGAGGGTACGGAGTAGGGGAGGAAAGGAGAAGGAGGGGATGAAAAGGAAAAGGAAATTAGGAGGAGTGGAGGAGGAGAGGGTACGGAAGAAGAGGAGGAGGGGCATACCCTCGCCACTGTACCCTCCCCTCCTACCCCTCAAGAGCTGCGCGCAATTTTCACAGTACAGAGATTTGTACAAGTCATTTTTTCATTACCTGACCCTGCTGTCATGCACATGAGTATGGGCATTCAGCATTGTCACCACGTTTATGACCAATGACTGGCTGGATCTAAGAGCACAAAGCTGCTGCCACACCCTAAGCTTAGCGTTGAACGGAGTATACAACAAATCAGAAGCACGCTAAAAGTGTAGCGACTTTGAATATTAGGTGCTTTGGAGCTTGACTTTGGCCAAACATTCTTAGCGTTCAATTTATTTCCGTTTTGTCGCAAAAACGCCATACTTCAACAAGAGTGTATGGTGCGGCAGTATGATTTTTATAAGCACTTTTGTGATACTGCAGTTATTTTCAATTTTTACTGATGTTGTTTATAATGGCCTAGCAATACTTTTTTTCGAATAACGAATAGAAAACTGCAGCGACACTAGAAAGTTTTTTTTTTAGTTGCCTGACTTTTGCAAAGCCTTTTTACTTTTTATTTTGATTTCAGTTCTGGAGAGAGAAGAAAAGAAGACATTCAAGACTGCTTATGTGTAGGAATGCTTTCGCATTCCTACACGCAGCGCATTTTTACAAACAGAGCGCGACGCCCTTCTCTTTCACACGGCACTTCTAAGGTGACATCCCGCTCCCCGTCTGCGCAGGGGTGGCGTCCGTGCCGGCTCCACGGCTTCCTTGACGATATGTCTTCGTTGCTGTGCTTTTCTTTGTCTCTTATTTCTGAGGCGCTTCCGCTTTGACCTTGAGCTGCCTCGACGGCTTCTGTGACAAAGTATCTGCGTTGCTGTGTTTTTGGCCAATAGAAGTTTTGGTTCAGTTTCGCTGAGCTAGTGGGAACGAAACACCGGCTTCGTTCCATGGGACTGTGAATGCTTTCGCATTAAAGCTTCGTCAAGAGTTTATGGTACAGCAGCGTAATGTTTGCATGCGTCCTGAGATATAGTGTTTTTATTTTCCATATTCGGCGATTAAGAGGACCTCGAGAATTTTTTAAAAGTTCAATACACAAAAAGGTATAGAGACACTTGAATTGTTGATTCTAGTCCTTCTATTTTAGTCAACTTTGTTATTTCATTTATAAGCATGCCAGTCATGTTTGCCTCGTCATTCTATATGCCAAGTGTTTCCGGCCGTTCGAGTGCACGGCGCACCTCTCGCGCAGCTTGGAAATCTCTCTGGCTCCTGTTGGCAGTCTGCGAGCGCCTGCAGGTCATCGTCGCGACTTGAATGCGAGTAATTTATGAACCGCCGCGAACATGAACCGCCTTCGACGATGAACCGTCTGAGCTATCAGATGGAAAATTGCGATGCTGCGCGAACGCTTGTTGAAAGGGTCTACGTAAGGTACGCCGAGCGCTGGAACGACTTCGCAGGCGTTCGAAGGGCGAGTAATTTGTGACGACAAAGCAGCGTCTTGCATCTTCAGCAAGTTAACAGTGCTCGAGAGTCCCACACTCACAATTCAGCAGAGCGAGCGCGGTCAGCTAAATCAAGGCGCAATCGGCTCTTGCTTCGCGATTGTTGCGTCGTTGCATGGCCTACACTGATGACATGTTCACTGACATTCAAAACAGCTCTCTCGAGACTGCATGCAGGTCCAACAGCCATGCACGTGTCGCCGCTCTGCACTTCAGTATTAAACGGGCTCACCGCGTAACGGGAAAGCCCTTTGATTAAACCGGTGCAGTTTTACGGTCACCGGTCACCCGCTTGTACAAAATGGTCATCCGTTTAAACAATTGGGTGACCCGCTTGCTCGAACGAGTGACCCGTTTGCCCAAACAAGTTATCCAATTGACCCAACGGGTGACCAGTTTGACAAACGAGTGACCAGTACGGCTAAACTGCTTGCGTTACCAACCTCTTTACTTTCATATAGGAGCCGAGCTCTAAATAGACGATGGAAATCTCGTCAATACGTAATGGTTTTCAGTATTATCCCAGGGGGATAATACTCCAATTCCGGGGACTGAAGGGACTATAGCGATAATCGAAAGCGACGACAACATGGGAAGAAATTGAATAAACAGGGGGATAATTGAAATACGCTACTGTGGATAATATTTGTAGACTCCTACATACCTGTAGCCTTCCAAGGCAGCAATCTGCTCAGCACGGTGGGTCCAGTCAATGGCGTCTTCACTCTTGTCAAGCCATTTGTTGAGTTCAAGCCTGTTGCCTTCGACTAGGTCGCTCAGCACGATGTGTTTGAATCGACTGGAAGCCAATAGCGCAGCCAGGAGAATCGGGCCACTGCCCACATCCAACAGAGTCTCACCCTGAGCCAGACCTATAGAAAGCAGACCAACGTTTAATACTGCTTCATTGTCAACCAATTCAGGCATAGGATTTTTCTGCCAAATTTTCAAAAAGCATCACAGTTCACAAACATGCCGTTGTTCGTTTTCGCAATGAATGTGTCCACTTAAACCTGGTGAGATACGAAATGCATCGCCAAATACAGAATGAAAGTCGCAAAGAGACCTATGTTAAAGCTACCTTAATGAAGGCCGTGTGAATCGGGAATCAGTAGGCGGTCCGCTGACAGGGCTATAACGCGGCTGCTGACTGGAGACTCTAGAGTTTCAATTTGCAAAGGGTAAAAGTGAAATCATGGGGATACTTTGTAATTCAATGGCCTTCACCTTTTGCGGCTCCTGCTCAAGCTACCTAATGCGGAGGTTCGTTGGACTTGGCAGGTTCGGACTTATAGGTCAGGGTTGGGGGCGGGTAGCCTATGGTGACTGCGAACGGGGTCTGCAAGGACCCCGTTCCTAGTCACCTTACACCATATCCCGTTCCCAGTCACCCTACACCATATACGTTACGGGCGAAACTTTTCTCAGATTTGTTTTGTTAACTTACTGTTTGTTATGTCACTAAAACAAATATTTTCTTCCAGCAAAAGCTCGTGTAAGTCGATATTTTGTTAAGAAATAGGGTACCTCGGGGGTCCTTAGGGTAAAGCTGTCAGCACCACCTCGTCCCGTCCCACCCCGCCCCCCCCCCCCCCCTAAATCCGCCCATGGCACGCGTACGTTATCGCAATGTCTTCGAGATAATATAGGTTCAGTACAAAATTTTCGGTGTTACCTAAACAAGAGAAACACGGGCCGCAGTTTGAACACGTGTGCTGTCTGAGGGTTCGACGGACATTTAAGCTGCATTACTTAAAAGAACACTCCCAGCCGAACACTTGCACAGCACGAGTGTTCAAAGCGCCCCGCTTAAAATTTTTTTTTGCGATACGGCGAAATTTTAGCATTACGCCTTTGCAGGTGTTAGTTTTCGCGTGGTGGCGAAAATAGCTGGTGGAGAGGCGGAGACGCTTAGAGCGTTTAAAACGCTAGACGCTTTCTGTACCTCCTCGCACCATATAACGGAAACCGGCGCATGATACACAGACCCATATAAAGCGGTGGAATTCACCCTGAAGTTTAGGCACATAGGTACAAACCTTTTAAGAACCTTTTTATTCCATTAGAGCGTTTTCTCTACAGCCATGCCTCGTTAACATAGACCCCGCTAATATGAACACGGCTCCTTATGTAAGAAATTTTTGGGGACCAATTTTTCGGTATACAACTCTGGCCCTGTTGAAATGGAAACCCGCACTGTGACGTATAGTGTTCCCGAGAAGTGTGGTAGGAAAAGCGGCGGTGTCCTAGAATGGCCAGCGTGAAGACGGATGGCGTTGAAATCCGCAAGGGCGAGAAAGGGTACAGCAGTCGAATTACATAGAAGAATCAAAGTCGAACACGCTTGGCGAAGCTGAGAGGCAAGGTGAGAGAGGCAATGTGATAGGAGCAAGGCAAGGCGATAGGAATGGACGACGTCAGGTGAGAAGCGGAAGCGGTCAGAGATCATAGCGTCTGTCAAACATAAACGAACGGAGCTTTCTGCTTAACTAAACAAATAATTTGGGAATTCAAAAGTGTGACACCTTTTGAATCTGGCGGTTTGTGCGAATGGAACCAAAAAAAACCTTGCCATTCGTCTCGCCAAAGGTCATGCAATTATGAAAGGGTCGACAAGTGGATGTGCCTGGCAACATCCTGCTCAAGCCTTTGCAGACAACGAGCACCGAATTTCGAACAACTAGAGGAAGCCGTAGATATCATATTGTTGAATATGCCTTTTATGGGCGATGCTGTGAGGGGCAAGATGCTAGAAGACAAGAACAAACAGTTTTGCGCCACATTGGGCAAACTTATGATTTTGATTCTTTTTTTAAACATGGTGTTAGAAGGCTTTTTTATGTCTGAGCTGTTCCTCTAAAACTTCTTGTTTTCTAACTTTCGTTGCAGTCGTTCTTATGCAATTTAGTATCGAAAATAAAACACCGTTATCTTTCAATTGACAATATTTTAATATCCATAATTTGCGCGACTTCACGCAGGAATTCAGCACTTCAACTACTCGAGAGGGTGGCTCAACGAGCTAAATAACGCAAGCCCTGGAATTTCAAGCCACTGCATTCACTTATTGAATCTTAAGGGCCTGTGAGGACATTACATGAGGGGTATCATTCATATTATACATTCGGAAAACATTCACAAAAATAAATACATTCAGGAAAAGGTTGGTAAACGATTAACAACATAAAAGTGCAATTGAAGACTTGATTTCAAGGCGTTTGGATCTACGATGGTGACGATGGAGGATGGGAGGCTGTTCCAGACATTGATAGCTTGTGGAAGAAAAGATTGGTTGAAGGAGTTTGTTGAACCAGAGATCCTTTTGATGGTACAGGCATTGTTTAGGCGAGATGATGTTCGATCGAGAGGTGATAATAATGCTGTTTTAAGGTCAAGACAGTCATAATAGATTTTGTGAAGGAGGCAGAGCTGAGAGACGTTCCTACGAAGCTGCAAAGAGGAAAGGGTTAGTCGACTTTTTAGGGAAGAGACACTGATGGAGTTATCGTACCTGGAGAGGATGAAACGAGTGGCCCTGTTTTAAATCGCTTCCAGATGACTGATAAGGTAGCCTTGGTGGGGGTTCCAGATGGAGGCAGCATATTCTAATTTAGGTCGGATAAGTGTGTCGTAGGCCAGTTTGCGGACAGTTGGAGGAGCAGGTCGAAGGTTACGTCGGAGTACTCCCAGGGTCCTGAAGGTGTTTGCGGAGATCGCTTCAATGTGATTATTCCTTGAAAGGTCAGATGTTAATTTTACTCCGAGATATTTTTACGAAGGAACGGTCTCAATGAAATCGGGTCCTAAGTAATATTGGTAGGACAAAACCGTTTTTTTTAGTGAAACAGATTAGTTTACATATAGATTTGTTTAATGGCATCAGCCACTGTTCGCACCATTCATTAATTTTTCCTACATTTACAATATTCACTCTAGTGTGCGGTATTTGGGTGAATACGCTCTGACCTTCATACATGGCACGACAATGTACTAGTGCAGATCACTGCATTTTTCTCGAGTTTTTGATATTGCAAATTCAATCTATTAATCACTCACCAAATCAATTATATAAGGTATATTTTGTTTTTCTCATCAGACACAAATGTAGGATGTGGTAAATATCATTGCCCTTTTTTTATATAGTCCTCGCATTGGCACAGGCAACAAAATATGTGATTCAGCTCCAAGCTAGTTCCGAATGTAGCGCCCATCACCGTGTCTGCCGCAGAGGCAACTAAGGAAAGCAGATATTTTGGAATTAGTAAACTCTACCGGAACGCAGAAGATGAAAGAATTCCGTTGTGATGGAGATTCCTCGTGAACGGCCAAAAACAGAAAGCGCATCGAGTGATATAGAAGACGAAACAAATTAACGCGCGCGTTCGGCATTGACGTCGAAAACCCAGAACTCGCTTGTTCACCTTGTGCTAAAAGTAGAGGGTCGCTTAATGTTTAAGCACATTATATGGCTGGCGGGTTTAACTCGAACCTACAGGTGCAAGATTTAGAGCGCAGGCAACGTTATGTAGGAAAGAAATGCATGAAAGGTATTTAACAAACTTTTAATGCTGTATTTTTTGTTGGGAGTTTTCCGCAGGCAAGCGCACAAAATGGACACCAGTTTTCATGCAAGGTTTAGCAGTTATCCCCGTTCAAAGTAAGAGGAGACATGTTACAGCCGAACGCAGACGCAGTTTTTGCGTAAGAGCTTTCGTCACTGAAGTGCGAAACCGAAAATGGTAGGGTGTCAACCATCGCAATAAAGTCGTGGGTTATCGGCTCTTTTCTTTTTTTATTAGGCGCAATTTTTTCTTTTTGTCTCTGAAGAAATTAAAAGTTTTGTTTGGTACGTATTTTGACCCTACCAGTTTTTCAGTTTCTTTTCGGTAATATCTGCGGCATCTCTATTTAATCCAAAATTGTATACGGTCATTGCTTTTCTTGTTTTTTTTGTCAGCACTGGGCGATTACTTACATATACTTCTGTTTAGCACCGCGCTGTTATCGAGGACTAGGCGACTGCGATATGGAAGGTGTCAGCCCGGCACCTCTGAAAGAAGGACTTCAGTTTAACGATACCGGTTTATTTTAAATAGAATTGGTTCAACCTTTAATAAACAATAAAAACGCACGCACAAGTACACCTTGGGTCGATAATTCTTCGATACGGTACCTGGGGCGAACAGAAGGAGGAATCTTTTTTCACGGGTAATTTAGATAGCAAATATTTTACATATTTCTAATAAAATCACATATGCTATTTGCTTTATTATATATATTGAGGCCCGCGTTTTATTTTCTGTCTATCTCAGTCATCTTATGAAACGACTTGTCACCATTCACCACAACCTTTCGGCACTTCCATGTGTTTGATTCCCAAACTGAAAACCTGTCGGTCCGACGTACTACACGAGCAAAAGCTAACAAATCAGTCAAATGCCCGCAAAAAACATATCCGGTAACATATTTCAGAGCACTGCCTATAATGCGGGAATCATGTCATTGCTTCTGATGAAACGGAGTATATCGTCATATACTGAAAACTTGTGGAAAACGTTTCAAACCCCATTGGTAAAGACTGGGAAGTTGCAACACAAAGCCCGTTTGCAAAAAATGCAAAAACAAAATCCACACTCAAAATAATGTTTAGTTTTATACCATAGCTGCCGGTATACTGGTAATGCTTGCCGAATCGCCAGTTACCGCAACTATCACTACAAGGGTGCGTTACTTTTCCTTACAAGAAAGAAAGTTTGAACGATGTGAACGACGTAATCAAGCCTGTCTCGTGCGTTTTTCTATTTTTGGTGCTGTTTTCGAAATTCAGCGTAGCAGCTGTAGGTCCCATTTAGGCCATTCTTTACCACGCTTT